TAATGGAAACACTGCAGTTGTGAAACTGTGTTTTTTCGACATTAACAGAATATCGACAAAGTTTTGCGAACATTTGTAATGGAAATGCAGCTACTGTAAATACGTCTCTTAATTCTGTTTGAGCTTCCGAAGACCTAGCAGGTTTTACCGCTGCCTTTCCTGCATGAAATAAAAGCACATTGTATCAGTGAACTAAAACCAGCAGAATGGATCAGGACAGCAGTTATTTCAACACTGTTCACTTTAAATCAAATGGTGTTTGTATTTTTGTGTTTAACTCATTGTTTAGAATGAACAATGAGTTCCTACATTTTTCAGTGTAGGAATGGTTAATGTCAAAATAATCTGAGGTGTATTTTCAGGCAGTAAGCCCGATCATGTTAAGTCTGGAGGAAAGAAGGAGCTGAAGATCATCCAGGACCCAGAGTATCGTCGTTTTGGCAGCACAGTAGACTTGGACTGTGCTTTGGAAACATTTGTGCCTCACAGGTTAGCTTGGACGCCACATCTTGTTAAAGTTCATGTTGGTGAATTATAGATATAAAAACCTGTTCATTTATTGTTTGTGATCACTGATAGAAAAAGTCAACGTTTTTGTTCTCTGCTCCTAATTTCTCCTGATGTGTGAAAGATGAATGTTCAATGAGAGGAACTAAAGTTTCATGAGGTTTTGATAAAGCTAGRTGGTGGACAGTAACATGTCATGTTTTGTTGGTAATTTGATGTCGCCCTGCTTTGAGAATTACTGAGGACCAAATTATTGTTTTTTTATTATGTTGATAAAACCAGTGCAAACTTCCTTCTGATTGTGATTGTATGTAGAAAGTATCCAGTAAAGTGCTTTAGACTTGTCTTAATGTAGAATAATTGTTGTTGATTCACTCTCCAGCTCATCTCCACAGCAAATAGAGGAGTGCTGTGGAAGGCTGAAAAACAGGCTCAATGAGCTAAATGAAGAACAGAACCACATTGTGCACCAGCATCAAGAGCAGGTATGATAAAGTCTGCAGTAGGTCACAGAAGAAGTGAACATTTATATACTCATAGGTATACTGAGGGCAGTGGGGCCAGGGTCTTTCCAAAGGACCCTTGGCTCATGGGCTGGAATGCTTAAAGACTTACCTCATTACCAGTGGGCTAAAAGTGCCGTTCAGCCTGTAAGATGGTGGGATGTGTTGATGTCAGTGTTGCTTTAACATGATCATTCACTCAGCCTATCCATCCGCTGTTTACCTGTTGTTCCATTCATTGTTGTGGGGAGCTGGTGGTCAGTGTGTGGGAGGTGGGGTACACCTTGAACAGGTCCAAAAGTCCCATCACATTGCCACAAACAGGAAGAGGAACGATTCATGCCCTTACTCACACCTAGGGACAATTAAGAGTTGCCAATTAACCTAAGAAGAATGTTTTAGGACTGTGGGAGGAAACCAGAGGACCCAGAGAAAACCCACATGTGCACACAGACCTGTACAGTCCATACAGAAAGACATCAGGAGGGAGGCTAACCTTTACACTGACAGGTGACACTCCTAACCACTGCCTCGCTCTGCCTAGTTTACTGCAACTGTCCAAAGGCTTTAGGCTCATTAAGGAACMCTATTCATGTCAAAAAGACACTTAACACAGTGAGAGCTGTACACTCATCATAGAGACATAATGTTTGTCTTTTAAATGTTCTGTTTCCTTCCAGGCAGTCAACTGTGTTGTGGGGAACATTGTGTATGAACGTCTGGCTGACCATGGTCCCAAACTGGGTCCTGTTACCAGGAAAACTCCTCTAGTCACCAGGTACTGATTTTCAAAGGAGCAGCTAGTCTGGATAAAGGGAAGGAATACATAGCAATAAATTAGATTATCATTAAAAAGTTCATTTATTTTAGTCATTCAGTTCAAAAAATAAACCCATTAAAATTAATTACTCACAGAGTGATGTATTTCAAGTTTTTATTTCAGTTAATTTGGATGATATTGCTTATGGCAAATGAAAACCCAAACTTCCGACGTTTCCGCCTCTGAGGTTTCAGTTAGCAGCCTAGCCTCCCCCTCCCAGGCGGGAGAGTCGGAGCTAGATCTGCCTCAGAGGAACAGATGCTCCGTTGTGCCGGCCGGGCATTCCGTTATCTACGAGTACACCCCTCCCAGTGATGGCTGCTTTGGTCAGCACCATCCTAGACATCATCCAGACGGTGGGGAGAGCAAAGGRCCTCATTGTATCGTAGCCGCTAGCCCCGCTACCTCCAGACGAGTTGGTGGGAAAGTTTCCTGCTCCGCACTCCACCTGCTGAGATCCAKTCTGGCCACGTTTCCCAGCGGTGACCACCTACATATCAGGAGCAGCTGATCCGCTGAAACTGAGGGCTCCTGTGTCCACCTTCATAGATCATGAAAGTGGAGGGCCTGACAGACAAGGGCTTCCTGCCTGTTCCCCCTGTGGAACAGAGCCTGACCAACGTCTTTGGGGTTAGAGCGGCCCGGCACGTCTGACGACGACCCGTCCCTCCTAATGACCAGCTCACGGCTAGAATCATGGATTGACACCAGTGCACCTCCTAGACCAGCACTACCAACAACATGGCTCTGCTGGCCTTCAGCATGTCCAAGGAGGTGAAGGAGGGAGTTCTGTAACGCTGTGGACATCATTCTGAACTTGTCCAGGCTGTGTGTTCTGCCCGGGCGCTGCCCTGGATGATGCAGAGACAGATGTGGCTTCGCCTCTCYTCCTCCATCCCTGAGGAGCTGAAGAAAGAGCTGCTGGAAGGGCCCRTCACTCTGGACGGATTGTTTGGTCCTCATGTCCTGTCTCTGGTGCAGCACATGCAGTCTTCATCTGAAGCACTGGAACAGGTCCAGAAACGTGGCGTAGCCACGGCAAGAACACCACACAGAAGTGCTSGTTCAGTGCACACAGTCTCCCCGGCTGAGTCCGGCAGCGAGTCGTGTGATAAACTCTCTGGGACTGTAACACAGCCTTTCCATCCAGGCCCCCCATGGGTCACCCAGGAGAGATCTCAGGTGATGGTGGTAGGGGCTCAGGTATGGCTCGTAGCCGTGACAAACAGATCAGAGAGTCTGTGCTCGCCCGCTCTCAGAGTGGCAGTGAGTATGCACTATGGACAGGTGGATGGACCACCTGATCAGCGGGGGTCCACACTGCAGTTTGCAGCAGCACCTCCGAGGTTCAGCAGAGTCCTGGAGACCATCCTGTCGTCTCCACAGCAGACTCTGCTCTCCAGTCTGAGCTGCAGGAACTCCTGATGAAAGACRTCATCTCCAGGGTTCCCAGCGGCAAGGAGAACACGGGTTTTACTCACTGTACTTCCTGGTACCAAAAAGGTCAGGCAGGATGAGACCCATTCTGGACTCATCCGTCTTCATGGAGAGACCGTTCCACATGCTGACGATCAGACAGGTGTTGGAATGTGTTCAACAGAACAACCGGTTAAAAGTATTATTTCTATCACATCACGTCTCTATCATTCCCAAACACAGAAAACAGAAAATCCAGCTTTTACTCCTAAAAGCAWGACGAGCTCCTACAGATCTAGAGTTCTAACACTGGATGGGTTCTTCCCTCCACCACATAACTGTGAGGAAGCGTGCGCTCTCCTGTTATGTCGTGCACACAGCTGATATACGGCACTCTCAGCTTTTGTTTGTGTATTTCAGAGAACAGTCAAAAGGACTTCCTCTGTCAGCTCAGCGCTTGTCACACTGGCTWTGTGAAGCTGTTTCACAAGCYTATATCTCCTCTGGATCACAGCCTCCAGAGGGACTCAGAGCTCATTCCACCAGAGGAATTTCATCCTCCACAACTCTGCATGGAGGAGTGTCATCACAGGACATCTGCACTGCAGCTTCCTGCTCTTCTCTATGCTCATTTATTCACTATATCTGTGTGATGTTTCCAGTTTCTCTCTGACCCACTCTGTTCTCAGAGTTCTGTCAGAGTGATGATGTGGATGTTTCCAGATAACTATCTTTTCAACCTTCGAGCTGACACAGAAACTTTTCTTTGTGTCCAACTGATGCACAGATTCAGTGATGCGTAAATTACACACTAGTCGAAGGTGGAATCTGAAGGRTTAGGAAGGAAAGCAGGTGATTGTGTAACTGTCATACCGGATGGACCCAGTGAGGCATAGACTACATCCTCCTCYGCCTTTAACCCAATAGTGATAGCCTTAAAGGGCGGAGCCTATACTCATAGTGTCTGGGGTTACACTACGTAACCAATCTTAAGTCAGACAATCCTGAGCTGTGATAAAGGAGGCTGCATGTTGGATAATTTTCATTGTTTATTCCAGGTATTTCACCTTCCCATATGAAGAMATGAGTTTTGAACAAGAGCTGGAGCTGCTGGACCATCCAGAAAAGATTAGCCACTTCTTGGCTCACAACGGTTGGGTGATGGGTGATGATCCACTGCGCAACTTTGCTGAACCAGGTAGAACATTAAGTAATCAGTGGCAAAAACATTGCAAGCAGAGAACCAGTGGTGGGCAGCGCTAATCCAAAAATTAGCTYCGCAATTTCTAAAGCACTTATGAAAAAATTTAGGTCCGCAACTTCAATAACGCTTATGTCATTGAAAGATTAGTGGAAGCTAATTTTAAAGCACAGGATCAATTTGACACTTACTAGCTGACAATTCATGTACAATATATGCACAACACTGCCAACTAGCAGCGTATGAACCCTTGTACAGCTTAATMCTACAACCGTCGATTGCTAGGGATGTGATTTCCTGAAACAGAACTTTGGCTCATGTTGTAAATATTAAAACGTTGTTGAGGATTGCTAGTTCAGATGCTTCTTTAAAAAGTTGTTGAGGATTACTAGTTTGGCTGCATCTTTTTCTTTTTCTTTTGTTTGTTGTAGATTTTTCATTAAAGAAGCATCAACAAAGTAATTTTAAAACTGTTTATTGGAAAACTGAAGCGATGCATTCTGGGTACATGACAGACTGACGGGAAACGAAAGCACGGGGAACAGGAAACCAGTATCTTCCCTTCAAAATAAGAGCTTGGATTTTAAAGTTTTTCATGTTTCCATTGGATTAAGTTTTCCAGTTCACCTGAAACTCATCAGACTGAAGAAGTCTCTTGGAGGAGAGATGAAACGTTTCACTAAAGAAGAACCATCCAGAGGACCTACTGATTTTTTATCTTTGATTTTTTTCTACCTGGATCAGGATGTTTTCCATGTAGTTGCTCCAGTTGACCACTAGATGTCAGTCTTCACCAGCATAGCATCTTTAAATCATTTCTGAGTCTGTAACCCCGTTGGCTGATTGCTTTTGACCTCCAGCGTTTAAACTTTATTTTATTTTTTTTTAAAAAGTAGCTCCGATTGTAAAGTAAAATAAATCAATACATACAAAATTTTAGTATGGATTACAAACATTTACTGTTTTTGCTGGGAAAGGGAGTTCTAAACATTGCCTTCCTGCTACGTAAGCAGACACAAAGCATTGTGGGAAATCAGAACCGTGACCCAAAGCAACAGTCAGCAGGATGTATACCTTCACAATAAGTGTTTTTACCTGGGAGGGGTGCTGTTGGATAGATCACATGTGTTGTGATTCATTGACAGTCATACCTTCTGCTGTTCAACATAATGATGACTGGTAGATAATTAGTTATTAGTGGTACTGCATTTTAATTTTAGAAAGCGCAAATCTGCTAAAGCGCAAACAAAATGTTTAGGTCCGCAATTAGTGGATTTGCTCTTTAGCGGACTGGTACCCACCACTGCAGGGAACCAAATGTTTTATAAGGCTGCCGTCAGATGTAACTCTTGGTTCTACCAGGTATAAAACTGATTTCTTGCAGCCAGTATTAAAGTGTGTGTTCTGTCTTTAGGCTCAAATGTTTACCTGCGTCGGGAGCTGATCTGCTGGGGTGACAGTGTCAAACTCCGCTATGGTAGTGGACCTGAAGATTGTCCATACCTTTGGGACCACATGCAGAAGTACACTGAAACCACAGCCAAATATTTCCATGGAGTCCGACTGGACAACTGCCACTCTACACCATTACATGTTGCTGAGGTATTGTCACACATTCTAAATGTAGTGAGAAATAAACCTGACTTCACTAGGACAGGCTGGGGAGGACTGCATCATCAGACCTCTGTTTTCAATATATTCTCAAAATCCGCACAAGTTTTACAACTCGTTGCCAACATCCACATACTGGCAATTTGAGTTTTTCATCAAATCATAGTTTGTTTTATGTGCACAGGGGTTTCTCTGTTWCAGTATATGTGCTTGCAGGAACACATTTAATGAGTCATTGTGTTTTTGTTGTCACGTTCACTGTCTCAGTGCAGATAAAGATATGCTTTGTTGGCTCAACACATTCTACAACATACTATATATGTATAAACATAAATATCTACCGTATTTATTCTAGTATAATACGAAACATTAAATCCATAAAATCATGCACAAAGTTGGGGGGTAGTACTATACTCAGATAAATATTTTTGCTAATGTATTTTAACTGAAATATCGGCCTCATTCACAAAGTGCCTGAGTCCGGAAATGAGACTGTCGCAAAAAGAGGTTGAAGCGAGCTCACCTCTAATTCTCCTTTGTGCTTCAGAGCGAGATAATAACAGATCCAAAGAGGCAACATGATGTGAAAAAAAGGCAGTCCTGCAGCTCAGTAATGATAACCAACTAATAATATTAATGTGTGACCGGGCCGCTCCTGGAACAACAACAAACACATGTTCGGCTGTAATGGCTGCCGTCTRCCGGTGTTCTGAAAAAGTTGGTCTACTTAAAAAATGTTTCCCCACCAGAGGGGRCGCTCACAAGACACAGAGGATGAGATTGTTGTTGAGTGGGATTCTGATGTCTTTATTACAGAGGAGGAATACAGAAACTTTTAATGATACTGATGATGGTGAGCCTGATTTTAAAGGCTTTGATTCAGCTTCATCCACACTTGTTAGAGCCACACAGCTCTATCTGTTTGTTAGATAACACCAGTTAACAAATGAACATTGATGGGTTTTGTTGTTGTTACTGTTATACATTTGTTGTTGTGT